ACCACCTCTGCTGGCCAGATTTCTGGGAGTTGAAGTCCAAGAACATCTGGTGGCCGAAGGTTGGGGATCACTGCCCTAACTTATGTCATCATATTAGCCTACATAATCACATAACATTGTGGCATCAAAAGTGACAGTATATGTTCATCATACCCTCTTATTCGCTTCATGCATAACACTGTGCATAACAGAAGACTATTTTCAGGGAACGCTCACTGAAGCAGCTTTCAAATATTGTGAAATCTTGCTTAACATTAAATAATTAATAAGAATTATAAAACAATATTATTTATTCAACACTACAAGAGTTAATTAACATATTAAGTCATTAGACTTTTATCAATTTTCACATTATTTTCCTGAATGAATTTCCCAGGCTCCGAGAATAGTCTCCCTTATGCATAAGTTAGGCGTGCAGTGCTTCCTTTGAATTATTAAATTTGTCATATTTATGAAATACTATGTAATATCACTTTACAATTACATTCAGGCAATAGTGAGAAACAAGTTTGTTGCTATTTTCTATGTCCTCTGAGACTTATGACTATGTTGCTGAATGGGAATGTATTCTTAACCTTGCTTTGGCAATACAAAGATTTGCTGCATTTCCTAATACCTCCTAGAACCTGGTAACACATGCTACTGAAGATATTACACAAAATACATCTTTGTCCACTAAAATAATATGGTTCTGGTTATGATTTACAAACATACGCCCTAATTAGAAGCATCGGTTCTCCACAGTGACATTTCTAGACGCAATATGATTATAAAAATTCTGGGAATATAAAGAGGGCTTGTCTAATTCATGATGGGTATAATTTGAGGCACTAGCAGCAGAAATCCACAGCCCTAAAGATCCTGAGAGGCAGGCAGGACTCCTTTCTTGGGAGTCAGGGCCAGTGGCAACATGCACCTGTACTGCTTAGGAAAAAAGCAAAACAATCAAAGCATCCTGCTTCTATTACCTCCCCATAGTGCTTCAAGCACTCTCTGGGCAGTTTGCATGTTAATTATGCAGGCTTCATTGCCCCCCCCCCCCCAAGCAAGCTGGGTACTCATTTTACCAACCTCGGAAGGACAGAAGGCTGAGTCAACCTTCTGCCGGCTACCTGGGATTGAAACCTGGGTTGTGAGCCATTTTGGCTGCAGGACAGCAATTTAACCACTGTGCCACGAGGCTCTTCAAACACCTGCTGCAAACATGCCTTTCATGAATTGCATTTCCCAGAAGGGCTCTAGGAAACAAAGGTGGATGGACATGGCCGCAAGCAGTTCACAGGCACTGCCAGTACCTATAAGGTCCTCTATAGCTCATTTTAACCAGATCTTACTAGTTAGCTAGATATACTGATTGAAATCCTATTTAGCATAGTAAGTCACAACTAGAGAATCAATGGAATGTATGGAGGAGTTGACTCATCAAATTCCCAATGATTCAACGGGACTAGTCCACTTGTACTCTTTCACGGATTGCTGCCCTGTCGTGGCAAAGGGGCTTGAGCAGCTCAGGGAAGCTATGGGCTATGCCGTGCAGGGACACCCAAGACGGACAGGTCATAGTGGAGAGTTCTGACTAAACGCAATCCACCTGGAGTAAGAACTGGCAATGCCACTCCAGTATCTTTGCCAAGAAAACCCCATGATCAGAAACAAAAGGCTAAAAGATGTGATGCTGGAAGAGGGGACCCTCAGGTCAGAAGGCATCCAACATGTTACTGAGGAAGAGCGGAGGACAAGTACAAGTAGCTCCAGAGCTAATGAAGTGGTTGAAGTGGTTGAGCCAAGGCCGAAAGGACGTTCAGTGCGCACAATCGTGGAAGTGAAAGGAAAGTCTCATTCTGCAAAGAAAAATACTGCATAGGAACCTGGAATGTAAGGTCTGTGAACCTTGGTAAGCTGGATGTGGTCAAACATGAGATGGCAAGAATAAACATTGATATCCTGGGCGTCAGTGAACTAAAATGGACAGGTATGGGCGAATTCAATTCAGATGATTACCATATCTACTATTGTGGGCAAGAAGCCTGTAGAAGGAATGGAGTAGCCCTCA